TTTGCCTTTTAGTGTGGCTGGAAAGGAATAGCTGGGGCCAGGTTGTTCATGAAGATAGAGGTTGATTTGGGTCGTGGCTTTGCAGGCTACATAGGAGCATGATATCTGCTTGGCTTCTGTTGATGGCCTCAGGCTGCTTTAGCTCCTGGCAGAAGGAGATGGGGAGCTGTCCTGGGCAGAGGTCACATGACAAGTGAAGGAAGCAAGAGAGGGCAAGAGGGAGGGCCCAGACTCTTCAACCACCAGCTCTTGCTAGGAACTAAGAGAAGAACTCACCCTTGACCAGAGAAGGCACTAAGTGATTCATAAAGGGTTGGCCTCCATGACCCAGACATGGGACATCAGGCCTCACCTCTATACTTGGGGTTTCCAATCCCAAAATGAGTCTTGGATGGGACAAACATCCAATCTATAGCACACTGTCTCTCCAAAGTTCTGCCTTTCCCCTACTGAAAGGTTTAGGTGACAGTGAGGTGGATGCAGCACATATAGGCATTGGGGGAGGGTCAATCTCACTGGGAGGAGCCCAGAAACAAAGGCTCATGCTCGGAAGGGAGGGTATTCTGGTGAGGCCCAGTAAGGAGGCCTTAGACTGGAAACACAAGGCTTGGAATGCAGATCTGTGTCTGTCCATGTCTGGCCTGGGTTTTGGGGGTGTGAGTGCTTGACTGCAATTCCCTCCAGAGAACTGCAGTGTCCTGCCTGTGCACTGGTCAGGTGTGGGGTGGGCAGTGCCCCTGAGGCCTGCTGAGCAAAGCCTTGTTCTGAATGACTGTGGACTGCGCTGGAAGACCACAGGCTGGGTTTTTGCTAGAGTGGCCTCTTCATGCTTGCTGACTCAGGGACTGCTAAGACATGCAAGCAAGGGAGAGGGTTGGTTTTGTGTCAACCTGATTACTATGGACAGACACAAACTTAGTCACTTTGGAGCTGGCAGTAGTGGCAGCATCTGCCCAGACATCTTCCAAGGAGCATCCTTGTGGGGACATGCATGGCAATGCCCCTCCCTCTTGATGGGAAACTAGCATAGACTGAACGCATGACCTGTTTAGTTCCTTCCACCTTTGTTCCAGTTTTGCCAGCTTCTGTGTAGTGCATCTGATCTGACCTCCTCTTTCTCACAGCTGCCCAGTCCCAGTTGATGCCCAGGCCAGGTGATTCCCCAGTGTCCTTCCTTGGAATGTCCCTTTCCTTTCTGCACAATTGTCCTTTTTCCCACTCTGCAGAGCCCTCCTTCTTATCCGTGTGGATACTGTGGGTCATACTATTTTCCCTGCTCTGTAACTGAGACCCTAGCATGAAGCTTCTTAACCAGACATGGTTAAGAAGGTATGATCTTTCTAAGAATTGAGAGTGATTGCCAAAGTCTCCTGGGAAGGCAATGTCAGCTATAGCCTTAAACATGACTGTCCGTGGGCAAGCAATGTCAGTGCAGGCCTGATACCTCCATTCCTCACTCCTTCAAACACCCCCAGATGCGGCAGGGCCCCGTCTACCTCCAAAAAAGGCAGAGGCCGTGCTCGGGCAGGGAGAGATATATTAGATATTTCTGGTGCCTCCACTTGCCAGGAGACTTTATACTCCTTTGGGCAGCTCCCCAATCCTTCTAACATTTTAGTTTCAAGTGTGAGAGTCTCAGCAATGGTGTCCAATGTGCCCATCAGTCCATTGTCTGTGGATGGGGCAGGTAAACCTTTTGTAGCTGAGAAGAGGATATTCCACACTTCAGAGGTAGGAGGGATCCGACTGGTCTCCAGTGAGGCCTATGTCCCTGGCTGTGCTCCCTGAGCTACAGACTTGGGCAGACACATGGGGAGCAAGTGGCAGGAACCAGAAATCGAGTAGTTTTCATGATGCTTGCCTTGTCCAGAGACCTTTCATTTTGGAGTTTTTCACCCTCAGGTTTAATTCTAGCCTTTGTCTTTGTTGCAATTTACAGACACGTTGTCGACCAGCACCTTACCTGCATTGACAGTAGGTAAATAATCCTCTCACCCCTCCCTAGGGCTCACTCTCTACCTCTGGACAAATGTTTTGAATGAAAATGATAGGATGAGGGTCAAGGTGGGCCCTTCTCTGTTTCATGTCCCTGTGCATTGAGTGAGAGGAAGTTGGAGTCTCTGGGGAGCCAGTCCTGGGTCAGGTGTTGGAGGGTGGATGGTGTTGGTGACCTGTCTCCTGTGGGACCCTGTTCCAAGTATTAGGAAATATCCTCATTCAGGTGCTCAGGACAAGCCCTGGAGGGCTCTCTACTCCTGGGACCTCATTCCTGGCCCTCCGGCCATGCATTGCAGACCTGCAAGGATGGGTGAAAATTTCTGTCCCTGCAGCTGACTGGCTAAGGCCTTGCCATCCCTGGTAATTTTCCAGAAGTCAGAGAGGACCACGTGGGTGCCACCAAAGTCTTCAACATGGGGACAGCATGGGCCTGGCCTCTGGAGCTGTGGAGCTCCATCCTGTGTGTGCTCAGAGTAGGGAGTGGGGCATCCATTCCTGTCACCTCCACTGGGGTCACAGGTGCTTCCCCAAAACCTGAGACTCCACAAACCCAGGCAGAATAGGGTATCACCTCTCCTTCCACTGTGATGAAGCTGAACCTCTGGTTGCAGTCATACTCAATCGTGACTGC